TTCCCCCTGCGACCGCCTGGGGAGACCAGAGAGATTGGGCTCTTGGATGGAGGAGGACGGGGAGCGATGTGAATTTGGGTGGATGGCGCCGGTACTGCTGGACCGCTGCTGCTTCGAGAAGAGCACCGAGACGGGGTTGGTGTTCTCCTGCCCAGCCCACATCGGGGCACCCGACTCCGGCACCCCGTAATACAGATCTTGCTTGTTCACGCCATAGTTGGGGAAGAGGTAACCGTAATTGAAGTCGTTTTGGTCATTCAGCCGGGGGGTCTCGTAGACAGGGTCAACAGAGCAGTCGCCGATGCACCCCAGGCTGTTCTGCCGGAAGGTGGAGAGGGGCTTGCAGCCCGGCGCCGGCCTGGGGGCCCGCCAGGCCTCCGAGTAGCGGTTCTCCATGCCAGAGTCGGGGCTGCTGGAGAGGAAGTCGTTCTCGTTGTTGTACTCCAGGATCTTGCCTGTCCTCACCGCGATGTGGGTCTCAATCTCCTCCCGGGCGCGCTCGACATTGCCAGGCGCACCGGTGATTTCAAAGACGGGGTCCCGGTCCCGGCTGGGCGTGATGATGTAGGTGTTGGTCTGCTGCTGGATCCGCTTGATGGTGGCTCCTTTGGGGCCCACCACCAAGCCCACCACGCGGTAGGGCACGCGCACCCGGATGGTGACTTGCCCCGGCAAGGTGGGAGCGCTGCCAAAAGTGGTGCCAGCCTTATTGCGGGAGGCCCTGATCATGGAGAAGTGCTCGGCAGCGGAGATGATCTCCCGCCGGGCCATGGCCACGTCCTCCCGCCGTCCCGTCACCATGAAGACCGGCTCCTCACCCCGCACTGGTGTCTTGATGTAGGTGTTGGTCTTTGCCCGCAGAGCTTTGATCTTGCAGCCTTGGGGAAGAGAGAGAAAACAAGGCAGGGAGGTTAGAGAGGCTGTCCCGCCGCCCTCCCCTCTCCTCAGGAAACCAGGCTGAGCTGCCATGCTTTCAGCAGGCCCTGCACCACACAGCAGCCACTGCCTGAGGACCTAAAATGAGGGAAAGGCCCTTCTCCCCCCAACCCTGACGGGAGAAATGTCGGAGAGTTCGCCCCTCGCCATCCCTCAGAAGCTCCCCGTTCCCTCACCCTCAGGCAGGTGTCACCATTTTGTGTGCTGCCCCCTGCCACACAATCCCCCTCAGCTGCCTCCCCTCAGCCATCAGCCACTCCTCAGCCATCACCCTTCAGAGATGTCTCTTACACCCCCAAGCACCAGGGAGCTGGCGAGGGGGATTCAAGCCATCCCCATGGGCCAGCGGTCCCTGCGAGGAAGCCTGTCCCCACTGAGGCCCAGGGCCCGCCATGTTGCCCCTCAGAGAAGATGGCCATCCTGGCTTCCTTCTCGTCAGAGCAGCTCTTGGGATGGGAAGGATTCGGCTGACACACGGGGCCACGAGAGAGGCTGGAGATGACAGGAGAAAGCTGAGTCCCCATGGCCAGGCACAGCTGATGTGGGGCCCCTTCGCCACCCCACGCCAGCTCACGGGGAACACGAGGGGAGAGACGTCTGCCATAACTCAAGAGAGCAGAGCCCCCCATGGGGACTTCTGTGCTACTGTGGAGCTTCTGGGGTGAATTCGGTGTGACCCTGGTCACTTTTGGGGGGCCAAGCTTGGGGAGGCGTAGCAGAGATGCAGCAATTTGGGCTCCCCACCTCAGATAGGGTAAGAACCCAAACATCAGCACTAGAAGGCCAGGGGATATTTGCTTTGGGATCAAAACAGCAAGAAATGGGGCAGGGCTGCCTTCCCGTGTCCATGCAGAGCCCTTCGCAGATGCTCACCAGGAGCCACAGCAACGGCACGGCGGTGGCCGCCCGGGGAAGCGAGGCCATCCAGCCAAGGGCTGTGTTTCGCCCTTGCCTCCCCATCTGGTGTATCAAACACTGATGGCCGCAGTCCTCCCCACCACAGCGGTCTGGGCATGCGGACCCTTTCCCAAAGTCATTTGCCACGCCAGTGCTTTTGTATATCAGCATCCACCTCCCTGGAACCCGCCAAGCCTATTCCCCCTGCTCCTTACAGCTCAGAAAACATCTTTCTGCTTTTAAAAAAAAAAAAAAAAAAAAAAAGCGCAAGAGACTTTCCAGTGTGTTTTGGCTTCCAAATAATTTTTTAGAGGGGTTTAGAGCCAGCTGTGTGACTCGAGGTTCCTAGATGACACTGGGACGCCATCAAGCAACTAAATATTTTTACAGATGTGGCACAGTTTTCTAAACTACTTCTGGAAACCCTCCCTGCTGCTGTGCTCCTGAGCCCTCTCTCCAAAAGCCTTACTCGCTGCCTGAAGGCATTTTCAAAGCCTGGCACCAAGTTCCCCTGCAGACTGCAGCTTCCTCTGCGGGGAGGCTTGCTCTAAGCTCGGGTCTCTAAGAAAAATTTAAAAATGTGATTCTTTAGGGCACCGCATTTCTACTAGTGCAGATGGAGTAAGGCGAGCATTTTGCCCTGGTTTCCCAAGGATTCAGGTGCCTGACTCAGGGCTCATGGAACAAAAAGATCCGGATATGGCACTGAAACTTCTGTGAGATCCCCCAGCTCTTCCTCACCCCGTCTTCTCTCCCCAAAAAGGAGCCCATCTCTTGTCCTCTCCTCTGACCATCTGACACCAGCAAGTTTTCCTCAACATACCCCACCGACATTATACTTTAACACGAGAGGACCTGCAAATGATGCTTCTGCAACCAAGCAATTAAGATTCCTCAGCTCGTGGGCTAGAACATTATTATTTATACAGATCCTAATAAATAACAACATCTCTCCCAGCTGGGAGTTCAGGGCTGCCACTCACTTAGTGCTGCCACTTATCTGCGGCTCGTCTCATGAGACACAGACTTGTGACATCGGGGTATTTACAGGAACGTAACGATCCCACCACCTCGTATCATTAGCAAGAATCGAACCCCGCACCTCTGGTGATAAAAACAGAACCTCGTGCCACTACAGCTGACAAGAATAATTCCCCGCGCTCGCAGTGGCGGCAGGCGCCGCGCGCGGTACAACCAATAGTTACGGCTGCACAAAGCATGCTCAGCCTGACAGGTCACACTCGCATCTCGCAACATCGCATGGGCACCGGGGTGCAGCCTCGTCAAACTGCAGGAGACTGCGCGAACACGAAACCTCCCGGCATAGCTTCGAAACCCCACCGCCTGTCAGAGGGTCTTGGCATTGGTGTAGGACACGTGCCGGTAAATCCTGACTTCGCTGTCGACTCCCAATGCGAATTTTAAAGCTACTTCAGCTCTCTGAGCCTCAGTCCCCCATTTGCGGAACAGGAATAATAGCTGTCTCTTGTTCTGTGTTACTGCAAAACTTCCTATAATACCTAGCATTGTGATGCTGCTGCATTAAACCGATCTCTAAGCCACTAATTTCACGTTCCTGGGGAATGGAAATGCTCGATGTGACCCAGAGAAGGAGCTGGGCAAATTCCCAAAATTCAAACCAAATCCACCCCCTGCCAAATCCAATGTAGTTCATATGTTACTCCCCACTGACTTTGCACCCTGAAGTATATTTGCAACGCTTTGTTTAGTAAAGTTTCTGAACAGCTGATGTGAACTGATGGTCATCTATGGTGTTGTATTATTAGCACTTGGGAAACTCAAAGAACAGGACTTTATGGTGCCAGGCACGACACAACTGTAGAATAAAACCACGCAGACAAAATCCCAGAATAAAGGTTCATCCCAAGGCGCCCGAGGAGCGCAGGATAAAACCGTAAGGGCTCACCTATGCCCTCCCACGGTCCCAGGGCAGGCTCGGCTCTCCCTGACCCATCCCTGGCAGACATTTCCCTGCTCCGCTTCTATGCTGCTCGCTCCAAAGATGGAGATTCCATCTTAGGAAGATTAACTGAGATGCCACCATTTCCCCAGGGATATCACCGGAGCGTCGCGTGGAAAGAAAAGGGGGTGTCAGCGGCAAGCATCCGCGCTGAAAATGACTCCCGCGCATCAACCCAGATGGAGGTAAGCGTTTGCCGAATTCCTCGGTGACCCCCGTTCTGCCTCCCAGGAGCGCAAGGCTTGCTCTCGTTTGCAGAAGGACCTCAGGTAGGCGTTTGTCAGAGCTGGGCTTGGGTTCGGAATTTTTCTAAGCCACGGGACAATGACCGCGGGTGGGGGGGAAGAGGGATCTTGAGCCCAGCACGACAGGAAACAATCGAGGAGGCGACACGGAGGGTCAGGCAAGCAGAGCGGTGACAAAGGACGGGGGCTCCATGCTGGGGACAGATGGAAGGAAACGGTGGCAAGGAATACACATGAATGAGGGCAAACGTAAGCAAGTTACACGAGCTGGAGAGGGTAGGAGGGAGTTAGGGATGGAGGAAAGGCGATGGAAATCGAGGGAGAGGCGTGCCGTGATCCTTCCGAGGGAAGAGGAGAATCGGGGGTGTGAAGGCAAAGGAGAGACACCCCAAAACGGCAAGAAGGAGACGGGGAAGGAGAGAGCATGGCGAGAGGGGGAGGGAGGATCTAGAAACGGACAAAAGGACGCGTGGTGCAGTCGATGGTGTGAGAAGCAGGGGGAGGAGGAGGGAGGGTCTCCGTGCAGGCCTGCAGACAGGAAAGCCAGCTTTGCAGAGACAGACAGATGGGGGATCCTGTGCTTAAAAACTGGAAAAAATAACCCCACAGGAAATTAGACCAACTCCATCAAGACCAGCAGCCCAGCAGGTTCAGTGGCCCAGATCTCTAGCAGCTCTAAACTGGTGCAGACAACAGGCCAAGCCATCAGCGGCATAAATCCAGATAACTCCACCAACTTCCAAGAGAGCTGCACTGATTTACATCAGCTAAAATCAGGCTGGGCTTAACTCTGATTTACCCACTTAGTGCCAAGGCTCCCAGCCCATCTCAACCCCAACCCTGACCTTGCTTTGCACGACTAAATAGGGGCTGAGCCTCCTTTGACATCGCTCTGTTTCTGACGGAGCACAGCCAGATCAGGATGTGGCCCTTTATATCCTGGCCGGATGAGTCGCACACTCCTATGTGCCTTTTTTTTTTTTTTTTTAAATGAAATTTGTCCTGTATGGTGGTTTTTTTTTTTTTAATGAAAGGCTTTCTTCGTGCGTAACTGAGATTTGAAAACAACATGCAACAAACAGCTTTACTCGGTGGATTATTAAAAGGAGAGAGAACTACTTAGTAGGTGGTGTTAAAAATGTAAAACTAAGAGGAGAAAAGGACCTGTAGAAACTATAATAATATATAACTTTGCTCTAGTATTCTACTCTTTAAGGCAGTGTGCAGACATCAGCTAATTGATCCCTGGCAGACTCCTGCCAGTTAGTTTTTATATTACAGAGAGAATTAAGCCCTTTCTTGTTGTGTTTCCACTACCTAGCTTCTATTATTCTGGTTTTTGCCAATAACACAGATCCCAAAGCATTTTGCAAAGGAGGCTTGTATGATTATTTCCTCCCCCCACCCCTTCTTCTTTTTAACTTCAGTTAACTGAGTGCCAATTGACTCAAAAGCAAATGTGTTTGCAAATTACCCTAGTAAGCCACAAATGTTAACATACAGGAACAAACCCTTGAGGATTGTGGAGCCTCCGGCACCCAGACCAGTTATCTAACTGGAATTAATCCGCAGAGCAGCTAGCTCTGGCTAAAAAAACCAAATAAATAAATTGAGTCTAGACGTTGCCAAACTGGGGAAGGGTGTGTGGGGGGGGGGAATCAGGGGGAGATTTGGATGCACAGCCACATTCTCCTCTCTGCTTACCCCTGCATCAGGGTTAAACAAATCCATCAAAACTAACAGAGAAGGCTTCAAGAGCTTGGTCCACCTGTCCAGCTAAGGCTCACGAGGGCAAGAAGGGCGTAGGATTCTATCTGAC